CCCCCCCCCAATTCCAGCCCCCTTCCAGCTCACCCATCGCTCCTGCTCCTTCCTCCGCTCCTCGGCGTCCAGCCGCGCCTGCTCCTGCCTGGGGGGACGGCACAGGGGGCGTCAGGAGGGGACACGGGGGTGGGACATGGGACAGGAAGGGACACAGACGGGAAGTACCAGCGGGATATGGGGACAGGGACACGGGGCTCGGACACGGGCAGGGACACGGGGATGGAACAGGGATGGAAACATGGGGCTGGGACAGGGACACAGACAGGGACATGGGGCTGGGGACACGGGCCTGGGACATGGGACACAGATGGGAAACACCGGTGGGATATGGGAACGGGAACACGGGAATGGGACATGGGACAGGATGGGACACAGATGGGAAACACCAGTGGAATGTGGGAATGGGACATGGGACAGGAAGGGACACAGATGGGGAGCACCAGCGGGATATGGCGACGGGGACACGGGGATGGGACATGGGACAGGATGGGAAACACCAGCGGGATATGAGGACAGGGACACGGGGCTCAGACAGGGACAGGGACACCGGGCTGGGACAGGGATGGGGACACGGGGCTCAGACAGGGATGGGGACACCGGGCCGGGACAGGGCTGGGGACACGGGGCTGGGACAGGCATGGAGGCCAGCCTTGCCCTCACCGCCGCTCCTCGATGAGCCGCTCCCGCTCCTGCAGCCGCCGCTCCCGCTCCGCCGCCTGCAGCCGCTCCTCCTCCATGCGCTCCCGCTCCCAGCGCCGCCGCTGCTCCCGCTCCCGCTGCCGCTCCTGCTCCTTCCGCTGCTGCTCCTCGCGCTGCGCACGCACCGGGATCAGCGCCGGGATCGGCACCGGGAACCGGCAGCGGCGGCTGGACCGGGAACTCACCGGCCCCCGCAGCAGGAGCGGCGCGAGGATCCCGCTGCCATTGGCACGGGCACAGGGAAGCGGCACCGGGACTGGGACCCGCCACACTTCGTACAGGGGCTGTCCCAGCCTCGGCACCGGGACCGGGACCCCACCGACCGCAGCACCAACACTGGCACCAGAACCCCCGGGACTGAGACCCCCCACCCCATGGGCAGTGGGACCCCATCGGCAGCGTCAGCGCCGGGACCCCCACAGACCGCAGGACCACCCGCTGCACCCCACACCGGGACCGGGACCCCCACCAAGCTCGGCACCGCGACCCCCGGGCTCTGCCCGGAGGCAGCAGCCGTGACCCCCATCCCCAGGATACCGGGGGACCCCCCAGCCCCCCGACCCCTCACCTCAGCCTGCTCCCAGAAGGAATCGCGCTGGGTGCGCTGCAGCTCCAGCGCCGGGTTGGTCTTGCGGTAGTTGGTTCCCTGGGGAGCGCAGGGGGGTCAGGGTGGGACCCCCAGAACCCCCCAACGCCCCCTGCCCAGAGAGCCCCGGGAAGGGCGAGCGAGCACCCACCGCCCCCCGGGTGCCCTCCCCGTTCTCGCAGGGACATCGCCCCCCACTCACCACCAGCTCCGGGGTGTCCTGGGGGGTCCTCCTGGGAGGGCGAGGGGCGGGGGGCTCCAGCTGGGCCAGCACTCGGCTCAGCCCCTCCAGCGTCACCTCCTCGGGGCGGCGGGCGCTGATCACGGCCGTGGCCTCCTGCCACCGGCACGGGACAGGATGGGACAGTGCCACCCCCCACCACGGCCCACCCCCCCCCGCACGGATCCACACTCCCCGGGGAACCTCGGCACAATTCCCATGGACGTGTCAGATGTGGGACTGGGTCCAGATGTGGGGCCGGATCCAGATCCCGGGCCCAGACAGATCAGCGGAAGCTGTTCCGGGGGATGGGGGGGGGGCAGGACCCCCCCGTCAGGACGGGATCAGGGGGGGGCAGGGATCCCAACCACAGCTCCGGCACGGCGGCCAAGACTGGGAGCACTGGGAAAGCGGCGGCTGAGTCAGCAGCGCCAGGAATGCGCCCGGGCACAGGCAAAGGTCGGGGAGGAGGGATGGGGGGTAGGAATGGGGAATGTGGGGGGGCGAGGACCCCGATACACCTCCCCAGCACCCCCCCGAGTGCTCCGTGCCCCCCACTCACCTTGAAGAAGCTCCGGATGGCCGGCAGGTGCCCGGCACACGCCGCCCGCTGCGATTCCGGCACCTTTTCCCCCACCTGGCACCGCAGCCTTTGCTCAGCCCGGGGGGGTCCGGTCCGGGGGTCCCCCCGAGCTGCCCCCCCGCACTCACCCAGCTGATAAGGACGATCCTGGGGCTGCCGGAGCCAGGATCGCGGACCCGGCACAGCCCGTACATGACGCTGCCCGCAGAGAATTTTCCAGCGAGCTCATCCGGCCCCCCGGCTGTAAGGAGGGGGCGTCAGAGGGGGTACGGGGAAACTCGGGGGACCCCCCCCCCAACACTTCCCGACAGCGTCGCTCCCGGTACCTCCGGAATCCAGGAGCTTGAGGTCGTGGTGCTTCTCATAGCCAAAGACGGCCCTGGGGGGGAGAAAGGGGGTCAGGGTGGGGGTCACTGTGGGGGGGGTCAGAGCTGGTGTCACTTAAGGTGGGGGGACCTGCCAGGCTTGGGCACCCCCCGCGCTCCCCCGTGCCACCAGCTTGGGATGAATTCATGGAAGTGCCGCCGGCAGCATCCGCCCCCGGGACAATGGGAATGTGGGAAGCGCCGGAGCGGCACGGCCCCCCCAGCGACCCTCCGGTGCGGCGGTGCCGGGACCCCCCGCCCGGCGCTGGGAGAGCTCAGGGGGCCCCATCCCGGCGGGACCCTCCCCCCCCCCGGGCATTCCCAGCGGCTCTGCCCCTCTTTGTTCCCGCGTGGCTCCGGTTCGGGGCGCACGCGGGACGGGGCCGGGCACGGCTCGGGCAGCACGCGCGGAGCAGGGCACGTCACGCATGTCACGGCATGTCGCGACAGGCTGCGGCGCCACATGGCGGGACAGAGCGCGGCACGCGGCCGGGCGGGCGCCCGGGAGGAGCCGGCGCTGGAGCGGGTCCAGCCGCGCTGCGGGGGCAGAGGGCAATGCCCGGGCGGCCGGTGGCCGCGGTCCCGTGACGCCTGGGGGCTGCGAGGCCGAGGAGCCCCGGTGCCGTCGCCCCCCACCCCGGGATGGGTGTTTTGGGGGACACCGGCTCCGGCCCCGCGGCACCGGCACCGAACTGGGGCCAGTCCGGGACCCCCAGCCCGGAACCCGCGACCGCCGGTGCAGGCGGCAGAACCCCCCCTTTCCGCACCCCGGGGTGCTCCCCGCTCCCGCAGGGCCCCCGGGCCCGTCCTGCCCCAGCCTCGGGCGGCGGCGCCGCTCCCAGCCCGCCGGCACCGGGAGGGACCGGGCGGGACGGGGCGAGACCGGCTGGGACTCCCGGTTCCCAGTTCGGCGGAATGGGCTCAGTCCTGGGACCCCCCCGCAGACCGGCACTCCCTGGCCGAGACCCCGGTGCCCCTCGGAACCCCCTTCCCGGTGCCGGTGACGGTGCCTCTCGGCCCGCCCCCGCCCTGGCCCGTGCCGGTGCCCGTTCCTGCTCCCATTCCCGGTCCTGTGTCCGGTACCTGTCCCAGTGCCCGTTCCCGGTTCCCCCTTCCGTTCCCGTCTCCGTTCCCGGTTCCCTGTGCCGGCTCCTCATTCCCGGTGCCCTGTTCCCTGTCCTCCCTTCCGTCCCCGTTCCCGGTCTCCATTCCCGGTTCCCGTCCCTCTCCCGGTGTCCCCCTCCCTCCCATTCTCACCAGTCGGTCCCGGCCCGGGGGTTCCCCACGTCCTCCCGCGCCGCCAGCAGCGCCAGCCGGTACCGCTCCAGCCCCGGCCCCGCCATCCCGATCCCGGGGCCGATCCCGATCCCGGGGCCGATCCCGATCCCGGGGCCGCCGCCGCCGCCGCCCTGCGCCCGCCCCTCCCTCCCGCGCCACCCCCCCGGCGCTTTCCACCGCCCACGGGCGGCACCGGGCGGGGCGGGGGCGGGAGCGGCCGGGAGGCACCGGCACGGGACGGGCGGCGCGGGGAGCGCTGGGACTCGGGCACCGGGCCTGGGTCCCGCACCGGGACGGGGCCGGTACCGGGATGAGGGTCCTGTACCGGGATGGGGGTCGCTGTACTGGGATCAGGATCCTGTACTGGGATGGGGGTCCCTGTACCGGGATGGGGGTCCCTGTATGAGGGTCCCATACCGGGATGAGGATCCTCTACTGGGATGGGGGTCTCTGTACTGGGATCAGGATCCTGTACCAAGATGGGGGTCCCTGTATGATGGTCCCTGTACTGGGACGAGGGTCCCATACTAGGATGGGGGTCCCTGTACTGGGATAAGGATCTTGTACTGGGATAGGGGTCCCTTTTTCAGGATGAGGGTACTGCACCAGGATGGGGGTCCCTGTACGAGGGTCCCTGTACTGAAATGAGCGTCCTGTACTGGGATGAGGGTTCCTGCACCAGGATGGGGGGTCCCACACTGGGATGGGGGTCCCATACTGGGATGAGGGTCCTGTACTGGGATGAGGGTCCCATACTGGACTAAGGGTCCCATACTGGGACGAGGGTGCTGTGCCACATTCCCATTTCTGGCCACGGGTGCCGGTTCCAGGTCCCACTCTGGAATGCGAGCGGAGGTCCCAGGATCCTCAGCAGGACACGGATGTCACAGCAGGATGTGGGGCAGGTCCCAGGGGCCCGGGCTGGGCCGTGTGCCCGGCTCCAGCACTGGAATGTGGCTGCGGTGCCAGGATCCCACCCCAGCACGAGGGTCCCCAGACTGTCCCCCATCCCTGGAGTCTCTCCCCCATTCCCTTTTTACACGAGGAAATGGGATTTTGGGATCTGGGGGAGTCACCGGGTCCCCCTGGACCATGAACGGGGTGCCGGGGGGGTCTTGGGGACATTCCCAGCCCAGTGTCTGGCCCCGCCGTCCCCACACGGCTCCGGTCCCAAAGCCTCTCCCATCGTTCCCTTATTTGGGCACCGCGGCTGGAAAATCCCAAATCCCCGGGGAGGAGAAAAATGCTGGAAAATGGGATCTTGGGCCCAGGGATACACACAGCCCAGAGCGCAGCGAGCCTGTCACCCCTGCCCAGGGTCACTGCTGTCACTGCTGTCACTGCTGTGAGTGGCATTACTGCTGTCACTGCTGTCACTGGTGTCGCTGCTGTCACTGGTGTTACTTTTTACTGGTGTCACCCTTACTGGTGTCACTGGTTTTACTGGTTTTGCTGGTTGTGCTGGTACCACTGCTGTCACTGCTGTCACTGCTGTCAGTGACGTCACTGCTTTGCTGGTGTAACCGGTAGTGCTGGTTTTACTGGTGTCACTGGTTTTACTGGTGTCACTGGAGTTACTGCTGTCACCGGTTTCACTGGTGTGTGCCGCTGCTGTCGCTGCTGTCACTGCTGTCACTGCTGTCGCTGCTGTCACTGCTGTCACTGCTGTCGCTACTATCGCTACTGTCGCTACTGTCCACTGCTGTCACTGCTGTCGCTACTGTCGCTACTGTCGCTGCTGTCCCTGCTGTCCCTGCTGTCACTGCTGTCGCTGCTGTCGCTGCTGTCACTGCTGTCACTGCTGTCGCTACTGTCGCTACTGTCGCTGCTGTCCCTGCTGTCCCTGCTGTCACTGCTGTCGCTGCTGTCGCTGCTGTCACTGCTGTCACTGCTGTCGCTACTGTCGCTACTGTCGCTGCTGTCCCTGCTGTCCCTGCTGTCACTGCTGTCGCTGCTGTCGCTGCTGTCACTGCTGTCACTGCTGTCGCTACTGTCGCTACTGTCGCTGCTGTCCCTGCTGTCCCTGCTGTCACTGCTGTCGCTGCTGTCGCTGCTGTCACTGCTGTCACTGCTGTCGCTACTGTCGCTACTGTCGCTGCTGTCCCTGCTGTCCCTGCTGTCACTGCTGTCGCTGCTGTCGCTGCTGTCACTGCTGTCACTGCTGTCGCTGCTGTCCCTGCTGTCGCTGCTGTCGCTGCTGTCACTGCTGTCACTGCTGTCGCTACTGTCACTGCTGTCGCTGCTGTCCCTGCTGTCCCTGCTGTCGCTGCTGTCACTGCTGTCGCTGCTGTCGCTGCTGTCGCGACCTCGCCACTCCGCCCAATATGGGCGTGGCCTCCCCATAGGGCGTGCCATGTGACCCCGCCCAATGGGCGTGGCCTTCGCCCGCTGGCGTGGGGTCGGTAACGGGCCGGGGCCGGGCGGGGGGGGCGCTGAGCGGGGCCGCTCCGCTGCCCGGGGCCCCCCGCGCCCCCATGGACCCCGACGTGGACTACGAGCGCCCCAACGTCGAGACCATCAAGTGCGTGGTGGTGGGCGACAACGCCGTGGGCAAGACGCGGCTGATCTGCGCCCGCGCCTGCAACGCCACGCTGAGCCAGTACCGGCTGCTGGCCACACACGTGCCCACCGTGTGGGCCATCGACCCCCCCGAGGGGGCGTGGCCGTCACGTGGCGGCGCGGCGCCCCCTCGCGGTGCTCCTTTGTCCGCGCGCGGGGCGGGGCGCCGGGGGGCGTGGCCGTACCGGCTGCTGGCCACACACGTGCCCACCGTGTGGGCCATCGACCAGTACCGCGTCTGCCAGGAGGTGAGGGCCGCGGGCACCGCCGGGCACCGAGCGGGGGAGCGGCGGGAGGGGCGTTACCGGGGACACCGGGCATCGCCGGGCACGGAGGGGCACCGGGGCGGGGAGGGGGAGCAACAGGGGGTATCGAGCACCCGGGAGCGGCCGGTACCGCACGGGACACCGAGGGAGGAAGCGGGAGGGGGTAGCGGGGGCACACCGGGGTGGTCCCGGTGGTTCCGGGCAGGGCGGTCGGTGATGGTGCCGTTCCCGGTGCCGTTCGCGGTGCCGGCAGGTGCTGGAACGCTCCCGGGATGTGGTGGACGAGGTCAGCGTCTCCCTGCGCCTCTGGGACACCTTTGGGGACCACCATAAAGACCGGCGCTTCGCCTACGGCAGGTGGGACCGCGACCCGCCACCGGAACCCCACCCCCTACCACCAGCACCTCCGGCACCCCCGAGACCCCCACCGCCACCCCAGCTCCTGCCACCGGCAGCCCAGCCCCCACCCCAGCTCAAGCCCTGCCCATCCCGGGATGCACGGAGCCAAAGGAGCCCCTTGGGCTCCCGCCAGCGCCCGGGGAGCCGCTCTGGCACCCCAAACCCTCGGGAAGGGGCCAGACTGCCCCCATCCCCCTCCGGGGACACCTCTGGGGGCACCGCGACCCCAACACTGCACCCCCCGCAGCCCCCGCCCCGAGCAGGGACCCGGCTGCCCACGGCCCCTCCGGAGCTGTGGGTGGGGGGCGGCTCCAGGGGGGCTCTTGTGGAAATCCTTGCGGGGGGCGCTGGGCTGACCGCAGGAGGGGCCCCCCCAGAGCTCCCGTGGCCCCCCGGTTGTAAACAGCCGGTCCCCGTGGCCGCTGGCACGTCCGGGCTCTTATCGCCGCCGCCCCGCGCCAGCCCCGCGGCACCGCTAATCTCCCCGCGGCACGGCGGGGCCCGCGGGTGGGGAGCCCCCCGGGGCTGGGGGGACTGGGGGGGCCGTGTCCCCGTGGCTCGCGGTGGCCCCGGGGCTGGCCGGGGCCCCCGGGGGGGCCGGTGGCGGCTATCTTGGTCTGGGACACGGGCCCGGCTCCAGCGGCGCCTCCCGGTCACGTCCCGTCCCGGCACGGACTAAAAACAACCCGGGCCCGGGGCCACGAGGCTGCTGCGGGGACTTGGGGGTACTGGCACCCCCGCTGTGTCCCCTGGCACACCCCCCATGTCCCCTGGCACGCCCCCCCCCATGTCCCCTGGCACCTTATGTCCCCGGAGCCAGGGCTGGGATGGCAGTGGCCGCCCCACGGTGGGCGCGGGGGCGGAATTGGGGACAACAAGCATGGAATGTCCCTGGTGCTGGGGGCTGGCACCCACCCAGGCACCCTCCGTGGGACCCCCCATGGGTGCTCAGGGGCTGGGACCACCGCGGGCAGGGGCAGCCCGTGGCTTGGCCGGCGGTGGTGACCCGAAGCCAGGTCCCGCCGGGTCCCTCCTGTCTCCTGTCCCTGTCATGGGGCTCCCAGAAGCCACGGAGTTCCCAGGGGATCGTGTGGCTGCGGGGATCTGTGGGGTTCCCATGGCTGTGGGGCTCTCAGGGGGTCCTGAGGCTCCTGGAGGGTCCCAGGCTGGGGACAGTGACCTGGGGCGGGGCTGGGACCCGGGTGCCGCCTGCGCTGGGCGCGTTTGGGGACAGCGGGTGACACCGGGACAGCGCTGCCCTCCCGCTGCTGCTCCTCCCCGCAGGTCGGACGTGGTGGTGCTCTGCTTCTCGCTGGCGAACCCCAACTCGCTGCGGCACGTGAAGACCATGTGGTACCCCGAGATCAAGCACTTCTGCCCCCGCACCCCCATCGTGCTGGTGGGCTGCCAGCTGGACCTGCGCTACGCCGACCTGGACGCCGTCAACCGCGCGCGCCGCCCGCTGGCCAAGTGAGCCCCCAGAGTGTCGCCCCCCGGCCCCACGGGGACAGGGACACCTCGGTGTGTCGTCACCGGGACCACCCCAGTCCCATTAAAATAAGGAGCCCTCCCTGTGCTGCTCTGGGCACCCCCAGTTTTGCCACCGCCGTGTGAGGGTGTGTCATGTCCCGGCAGGATGGGGTCCCCCTGTGGGTCGGGGTCTTCTGGCAGCTCTTGTGGGGTGGAACCTCTGCCCTGCTCAGCACTCCTGGCTTGGGGCCTCCCCTCCAGGCCTCCCTGGCACCCCCACAATGAGGGGCCACCCTCCCAGCACCCCCTGGCATGGCAGTGGCACCTCCCAGCATCCTTGGAAACAGGAGGGGCCGCCCTGGACACCCTCCTCAGCCCCCCACCCTGTCCGTGCCCCCCCAGGCCCATCAAGCCCTCGGACATCCTGCCACCGGAGCGGGGGCACGAGGTGGCCCAGGAGCTGGGGGTGCCGTACTACGAGACCAGCGTGGTGGCCCAGTTCGGGGTCAAGGACGTGTTCGACAACGCCATCCGCGCCGCGCTCGTGTCCCGCCGCCACCTGCAGTTCTGGAAGTCCCACCTGCGCAAGATGCAGCGCCCGCTGCTGCAGGCGCCCTTCCTGCCCCCCAAGCCCCCCCCGCCCCTCATCCAGGTGCCCGACGCCCCCCCCGGCCTGGGGGGGGGCTCGGCAGCGCTGTTCCAAGCCCCGCTGTGCGCCGACGTCGTCTTCCAGCTGCAGGGTGGCCACCGCGTCTTCGCCCACCGCGTCTACCTGGCCACCGCCTGCTCGCGCTTCTACGACCTCTTCACGCTGGAGGAGCCGCCCGAGACCCTCGGCGAAGGGGACGGGGGCACCCGTGACCTGTCATCGTGGGGCCGCGGCTTCCTGAGCCTGCGCTGGGAGCCGGTGGCCGACCCGGTGGCGGGGCGGGAGCGGCGGATGGCGGTGGTGGCCATGGACCGGGGCGTGCGGCCGGAGCCGCTGCGCGCCGTGCTGGAATATTTGTACACGGGGAAGCTGGAGCGGCCCCACGGCGACCTGCGGCAGGTGGGAGCGGTGCAAGGGATTCTTGTCCCCAAGGCAGTGGTGTCCCCATGGAAGGGGTGTCCAAGGGATTCTTGTCCCCTTGACAGCGGCGGTCAGCGAGTGGCTGTCCCTGCTCTGCAGTGTCCGAGGGTGGCTGTCCCTGGGCTGAGGGGTGGCATATCTGAGGGCTGGCTGTCCCCGCTGAGCTGTCCCCTGTCCCCAGACGTGGTGTTCCGCGTGGATGACGGCGCGGTGCCGGCGCACAAGCCGCTGCTCATCGCCGGCTGCGACTGGATGAGGGCCATGTTCCGGGGGGGCTTCCGCGAGAGCTACGCCGGCGAGGTGGGGACCAGGAGGGACCTGTGGCTCTGTGGGGCAGGGTGGGCATCTTTGCTTGGGGTCAGGGGGCTGCTCAGACCCCCTGGCCCAGGGACACGTGTGTCCTACTAACCTCTTGCAGAGGGAGCTGTGGGGGCTCTTCCTGTGCCAACTCAGGCGCTGCCAGGAGGGTCCCCCTTTCCCCCAGCTCCCTTTGGGGGTGTCTCTGAGGTCCCCCAAACCCCCCAATCCCACAGGTGTCCCTGCCCGGCACCAACTGTGCCTGCCTCCGTGCCGTCCTCGACTTCCTCTACACGGGGGTCTTCACCCCCACGCCCGATCTGGACGCCATGGAGCTGCTCATCCTCACGGACCGGCTGTGCCTGCCGCGGCTGCAGGCGCTCACCGGTGAGCCCCCCCCGCTCCCCGCACCCCCCCGGTACCCCCCGCACTCCCGCGGGCCCTGACGTCACCTGCCAATACCCCGCTGGTGCCGCGGGGCCGGATCGATCGTCCCCGTGTGTCATTCGCTGTCATTCGTGTGTCATTGTGTAAGCGCGGGGGGGGCCCGGGGGGCGCGTCCCCGCTGTGTGACCCCCCCCCGAACCCCCATTCGCGCGGGGGGGCCCCGGGGGGCGCGTCCCCGCTGTGTGACCCCCCCCGAACCCCCATTCCCCCCTCTCCCAGAGCAATACGCCGTGGACGAGCTGCTCCGAGCCTTCATGCAGCGCGTGGAGATCGACGAGCAGGTCATCATCTACCTGGAGATGACGCAGGTATGGGGGGTTGGAGGGCACTGAGACCCCCGGGGGTGGGGCACAGGGACTCTCAGGTGATGGGGTGACCCCCCCAAATCCCTCTCCAGTTCCACAACGCCCGGCAGCTGGCGGCGTGGTGCCTGCACTACATCTGCACCAACTACAACCGCGTGTGCCGCCGCTTCCCCCGCGAGATGAAGTTCATGTCCCCAGGTACGGACGGGGAGGGCGCGGGGCTGGGGGGGTGGGCACGGGGAGGGGTTCCCCCTCCGTGCCCCCTGAGCCCCGGGATGTCCCCGCAGAGAACCAGGCGCACTTCGAGCGGCACCGCTGGCCGCCGGTGTGGTACCTGAAGGAGGAGGATCTGTACCTGCGCTCCAAGAAGGAGCGGGAGCGCGAGGAGCAGCTGCAGCGCAAGCAGCACCCCCGCAGCAAGTGGTGCTTCTGGAGACCCTCACCCCCCGTGTCCTGAGCGGGGGGCGAGGGGAGGGGACCCCCGAGTGGGGCTGGGGGCTAGGGGAGGGTTGGGAGCCCCTGTGATGAGCAGGGGGTTTGGCCCCGGGGTCCCCGTGTAGGGTGAGGGGGCTCAGCTGGGCTGGGGGTCCCTGTGGTGAGTGGGGGGCTTGGGGCTGGAGGGCTTGGTTGGGCTGGGGGTCCCTGTGCTGGGCTGGGGGCTCAGGCCCTAGGACCCCCACACTTGACTTGAGGGGCTCAGCTGGGCTGGGGGTCCCTGTGTGGAGTGAGGGGCTTGAGCTTGGGGCTTTTATAAAGGGCTGGGGGGCTCAGCTGGGCTGGGGTCCCTGTGTTGAGTGGGGGGCTTGGGCCCAGGGCTCCCTTTCAGGGCTGGGGGTCCCTGTGCTGGGCTGAGGGGCTCAGGCTCAGGACCCCCACCCTTGGCTCCAGGGATCCCACACTGAGCAGAGGGGTTGGCCCCAGGACCCCCACTCTGGGCTGTGGCTCTCAGCCCTGGGACCCCCCCACCACTGAGCCAGGGGGCTTGGCCGGGGTGAGGGTCCCCCAAGGGCTTGTTTACCCCCCTCCCCCGGCTGTTTACAGGCTCTGCCGGGTCACAGCCCCCGCTCCCACCGTGCCTTTCCCCGGCGGGGGGGCCGTGATGAGCCCCCTCCCCCCGGCAGGGCCCCCCCGCCCCGGCCAACGCTGGTGCTACCTCTGACCGAGCAGTATTTGGGGCTGGGGGTGCGCAGGGAGCGGGGGCTCTGCCGCTCCCCCTTTCTTTTCTGGGGGGTCCCCACCCCCGTAGGGCTCTCTGGTGCTGTATTTTCTCCCCCCCGTGGGGCGGGGGGGGCCAAGCTGTGAGCAGGGCGGGCTGGGTG